GTTCCCCCCCAGTTCTCCCCATTTCCCCTCCAGTTTCCCCCTCAGTTTCCCCCAGTTCCGCCATCCCCCTCTCCCCCCTCGGCCCTACCAGCACCAGCGCCTCCATTTTGCCTCCGCCGGTGCCGACGTGGAGCCGGAAGAGCGCCCGCCGCTGATTGGCTGCTCGCCTGCCAATCACTACCATTGGCCACACCCTGCCACGCTGATTGGTCCAACTCTGCCTCAATCCCACCAATCGCCGAGGGCTCCCGCGCGGTGGGCGGACCAAGTTTTCCCGCGCTTCCCTAAACGGTCGATGATTGGAGAAACCACCTGTCAATCAGCGCTGCTCGGCACACCCGGAAGCGGAGGAGGCGGTACAGTTGCCATAGTGACCGGCGAAGCGGTGACGTCACCCATTCTCCAGGCTCGGAGTGCGATTGGCTGTCTCGGTGAGCACGTGACCGGAAGCTGTGACCTTTCTGCGGTTTGGTCACGCCCCTCACGTGACCATACCCCCTGTGGGCGGGGCCGCACGTGACCTTTGGTCACATGGGGTCGTGGGGGGACATTGGGGACATTTGGGGACATTTGGGGACATTGAGGGATGGGGGACGTGGAGGGGACATTGGGGACATTGGGGACAATTGGGTCACGGGGGACACGTGGGGACACAGCAGAACCACGAGGCCCCAGCGCCGGGGGGGTGACATGGGCGAGGAGGCAGGGCCAGTGCCACCAGAGGGGTGACAGGGCCACCGAGGGGGGGTGACAGGGCCACCCGGACGCCGTGGGCCCTGCTGATAGCGCCTGGCAGGAGGTGCCACCCCCCTCGCTGTCCCCGCTGTCCCCAAGGGCCCCGCGAGGGGAAACCGCCGCTGGCTTCCGTCCCCCGGGGCACCGGGGGGGACAAGGGGGGTCCCCGTCACTGCCACCAGCCCCGTGTCCCCTGTCCCTGTGCCACCACCGTGTCCCCATGTCCGCCCTCCTCCTGTCCCTGTGTCCCCAGGACCCCCAGGGATGTCCCTGTGTCCCCACATCTATCTCCTGGTTTTGTCCCTCGGTCCCCCCGTTGTGTCCCCAGGTCCCCCTTCGGTGTCCCCGTGCCCCCATTCCTGTCCCCCGTTCGTGTCCCCTCCTCCCCGTTGTCCCCTCCTGCCACATCCCCCCCTCAGTTCCTGTCCCCCCCGTTGTCCCCAGGGTGTCGCCGGGGCGGGCACAGGGGTGGTGGCACTGCGGGGCCGTGTCCCCGTCCCTGTCCCCTGTCCCCTGTCCCCTGTCCGGGTCTGTCCCGTGTCCCCAGGTGGGTCCTGGCTCAGGAGGGGCGGGGGGAGGTGACAGCGACAGGGACACGGGGTGGTGGCACCGCGGGTGCGACACGTGTGACACGAGGGTGGCACCGGGGATGGCAC